TGGCCTCTACCCATTGACCTTTCAGGCATGATTGGATCTACGGCTGAGGAGCCATCCTGTGTAGCTCGCAGGGTCATTGAGGTACGCAAGCCATCACACCACGTCAAGGTGCAGTCTCGTCGTGATGGGACTGTTATTAACTATTATTAACTCGACTCCATTAACTCAGGGTGTACTGATGACTGGGTGATGAAGAATGACCAGTTCACATCAGTACGGAAATTATTAAAGGGAGCAAAATACGAGTCTTTCCATCGCACTTGGCTGATGGAATTCCAATAAGACTGCCGCCTGCTGTTTGCCAATTTGGGTCGTTGTTGAAACTGTAGTCCTCTCTCACTTTTCCGCTACTTCCTGGCTCAAACAACTCGAGGTCTGCGTAGAGTTGAAGTAAGCGATCGCGATTGTCCGTTCTGTTAAATGATAGGTTGCATAGCGTCCAACCTGGCTGGTAACTATTATCGCAATCAGGAAGCTGCGGGTGTTGTTTATGCGCTTCTTCGTGGTTGGATTTACATTAAGTGTTTTATTCATTTGTCTACCAGAGGTGAACTATCCGTGGTTCACCGATCAACTTATAGTCTCCAATTCTGATCATTTGTTCTGCCTATCTGATGAAAATACTTCTTCATCACCCGAAGGCAATGGCTAGGTCCTCCTCAACAGAGGACAGTTGAGACACCGAGCCGTATGGGAGCATTTCACGAGGCGCGATGAAGAATAAACGGTGACAGTCGGAAGCACAAGCACATCTCGATCACCCAAATTGCCTTTTTCCTGTTTCCTATCTGTGCCACGTGTTTCTTTATGTTCATTTCGGCATGCTCTGCAGATCCCACGAAACCGTGTCAAATCACCTCAACCAGAGCAGTGAATGGCTTGACTGTGGATCCATTGTGCAATAATCGGATTGCATCGTTCTTCGAGGTAAGCTCCTGCTGTGATTCCGTTTCTATAGCACGCAATTAGTATACGACATTTACTGTTTACACCCCTCCAACCATAAGCTTGCCTTTAAAGCTTCACATTTGGCATGCAATATATATCTATGCATATATTTCGTAATAATTATTACATAGGTGACTGGACAAAATTTCCCTGGAAACGCAAGACCGGTTTCGCGGTTCTTGCCGCTTGTCAGCTACGCGTATCCGGTAACCTTTTGACAGTTTATTCATATATACATGTACCCAGGAAGTGTATTTTTGTCACAATAACCTCATTTACAACATCGGGTAATTTTGGAAGAATAACTCTTTCAGAGACAGTCCATTGAATGATCGATACTACGCTCCTACTTTTCTATAAAGGCAGTCAAGCCTTCTGAGTGGTTCGTCATAGGGAGATCCTATCTTTTGAGTACAAATAACACGGTTGCAGAAGAGAGTTTTGTGTACTGCACAACTGGGCCACAACTGATTGGGTGACACATGCATCGCAGTAGTCGTTTTTGGAACATCCGCTTGAACCGCTGTCCTTTGAAATTGGCAGCGTAGCAGATCAACATAAGTTTAGTTTTGTTTAGTTTAGTTTTTGCGAAATTCGATACGATCTCCGATGCGGTTGTACGGAAATGAGTTACAGCGTTTGTATCTTGACCACCTCTGAGCAAACAAGTTTATCCAATCGCGGTAGCCATGGGCACTATTTACTCGGGATACGGTCAAATACGCTCCAAAAAATAGCGGTAAAATGAAGGCACACTCAAACGCCGCAACGGTCCGTTCAAGTTCTTCAGTTAGTTTTTGACCTGGGATTACACCTTGTCGCAATTTGTGGGACAAGCTAAACGCCCACTGAGGACAACACTGATCACCTTGGGTGAGATACGAAACAGTTCTTGATTTCCAGGAAGACATTAAAAGTGGCATTCGGTTAATTTTGATGCAATTTTGTGTCTGCATATTTTCAAGTCACTTACTTAGTCAAGGTTTTCACACCCTCATGCCGAGTCTGAGTTACTTGCTTACTTTACTACAGCTGGCTTCTTGGAAAGAATAAGCCGGCTCCAGGAATGTCTCTGATTGCCACCGTAGAAGTCATAATCATGAAGTTAATTGGGAGTGTGGCACGAGTGACGTCCCCAGCGGCACTCGGCGTTTTTTATTTCGAAGGTGCACCTCTAGCCTTTGCACAACCAAGTGCGAACTGCAAGGCAGCAGAAAGTAATCCCTCACCTCGGAAAGTGAGGGGGTCAATGACTTTAGTTTTAAAAGGCCAGTCACATCGACCTTTGTCACGACATCGTCACTGGGCTTATGCGGCTTTTAAACGGGAGCCAGGTGACCAACCTGAAACCCACCACACCCTGTTATTGCCGCCGCTGTTTGTTCGCGATTGCTTATTTGCTGTGGTATGCCACAGCTTGTTCACAGCTAACCTTCTTCGGTGAAGGTATCCCTCTATTCACTACCCGGGGATGCGGCTGGCAGCATTCAGCTCTGCTTAACCCGAGGGTCTGAGTTAGACCACTCTTGACCTTCTTTCACACGCTCTAGCGGCCTCGACACATCGAGGAGACCCAACGGGTCGTATGAGTAACCGATTCTCTATCGGTTCGTGAATCGTTACAGTGAGCCACTCTGATAACCTTATACTCTGCACCGAAACCCGTCGTTGTGTGTCCCGTTGC